ATGTTAAGTGTGGTATCACTAATTGTCACACACCTGGTACATGAATGTTTTCTTTTCAGCCCGTGCTCAATCAGCGCGTTTGTGGGACTGCAATCTAACTTGGGCGTGCTCCGGCGTGAGGTGTCTCACGTCCTCTCAGGGCTCTGCTCAGTCTCGCAGTGTTCACAACAGATGAGTCTGGCCTATGGTATAGTTTTAGTGCCACCTCCAGCATATGGGACAGTTATAAAGCTAGGTCAGTGGGGACCTTGCTGCCTTCTAGTTTCTCTTGGTTGTTTCAGCTGTATGAGTGACCGCACCAATCCATAAAAAAAATAGTTTAAAAGAAAGCATGCACCACCATCACAGTGCAAAGAGATGAGGTGCTTTTGTTCACAACCTGATAAAGACCAGGAGACATTGTAGCTAAATCAGCAAAGAAATACTGGCCAAAACCTCTCTGTATGTATCGAAGGTTACTTGATACCAGCAGCATAAGCTAGATCTTTGAGTGCAGAATCGTTATTAAGGCAAGGGCATGACACATGTATTTGGTTTTTTTCATGCATTTTTCACTCAGACCGTAATTTCATAGTATCAACATCATAATCTAAGAAAAAAGTTCAGTGGATGTATTTAAAGAATTTTTTTTGGATACACAAATGTGTGGCAATCTTGCATAGAGAACAGTTGCATGGACAACTCCAGGGCTAAATGGGGCTTGCTTTGCATGTGTATGGGGCTTGCTTTGCATGTGTAAGTACAATTCTGTTATGCAAACAATAATTTGCACCTACTTCACCTTAGAAGGACAGCTGAAGATTGTGTTGGGTACCTTTCAAGAACTGAAGCCAGGTGGCAAGCTGTTGCAGGTTCAGACCACGGCAGTGTTATCTGGGTAGCTGGCTGCCAGGTGCCCTTTTCATGCCCCTTTCTATCAGTACTTTTTGGTGGACGCTTCCTCTCTTTTCCAGCTGGGCTGTTGCATTGAATTGGTTCATTCACCAAACTTTTAACTGTGGCACAGTTTGGACTATCTATCCATGACAGCCAGATGCATTCAGTCGGAATGTGTAGTAAGCAAGGAGTGGAAAAGCATTTGAGCATTTGGTACTCGAGTAAGGCAACACCCAAGAGACATTTTTGACCTGCCTTTTTATTTGCCAAACATTTCACAGCTTGTTTTCTTTTAATTTGAATGCTTCATGTTGAAAAATGGAAAACATAAAGGAAGCAAAAGCAGAAAGGTTTCATGATTGCATTTTTACAAATACAAATCTTTGTATTTTGATTCCAAATAGCCTGTAACTTCAAAAATCCATTATACTAAAACTCTTTAAATTCTTAGTTGAAATGAAAAGCTTATAGGGCAGAGGTTAAATAAACTATTTTGTTTATCTCATGACTGATATATTTTAGTTGGTTTGACTCTTTAGAGGGGAAGAGACAAAAAAAACCCCTCAGATATTTGCATAACTTTACTGAAAATAAAATAATGACAAGCCCAAAAAAGTCCCGTTAGTCCACATTAGTACTGCCAGATCAGCTACTCAACCTTGTCTCTGTAGTTGGGAAAAAGTACTTTCTAAATTAAAAAAATACAACTGAAAGTCTACAAAAGTTTTTCTAATTCATCTCCTTGTTTTAAGGCAGAGTTAGAATCTTGCATCATTCCTGAAAAATATTTGTCAAATCTTCTCAAATCTTCCTGTGGTGGAGACTGACAACCTCAAATTAACCTCAAAGAGAAAAAGTTTCTTCAAGTTTTTGGCTGACTTTTCTTTTACTGCAATGGAAGCCCATTAGTTCTTATCCTATCCACCGCAGACACAGCGGAAAAACTGTTCCCTGCTTCTTGGGGATAGCCTTGTAAAAACTGTTATTATGCCCACTCTCCATTTTCTGTAATTTAGCCTGATCAGTTCCAGTTCTCTCAGTCTTTCTTCATAGGTCATGGTTTCTAGATCTCTGATCTCTTTTCTCTCTCAGGACTTTTTCAGACAGTTCATCCTTTCTGATGCCCCAAAATGGATGCAGTGTTCCAGACTTAGAGCTTTGCCACTGCCACGCAGAGCTGAAGGATTACTTCCTGCGCTTTGCGGGCTGCTCTCCCATACGTGTCGCAGAATGGTGATTGCTTCTTTTTGCAGTAGCATAACTGTGACTCTCGCTCAGCTTGTGATCTGCTATATCTCCCAGACTGTCATTTGGTGTTCCCCATCCTGAACAGCTGATTTTTTTCTGCCTGAGTGTAGTCCCTTCTGCTTTTCTGTACAGCGTTTCAAACTTCTTTTCTAAGCAACACTCCAGTTTCTGAAAATTATTTTAAGTTCTTGCAGTGTCTTGCTGTTGCACATTTGCAGACAGTTAATGTGGTTTTTGTTCTGTCATCCAAGTTCTTAATGAAAACATTGCATTTTGTAATGGACCTCCAGCCAGCAGATCTTTTCAAGTTGTTCAAGGACTCATTAATGACTACTCTCTGCTATTGGTCATTCAAACAGTTTTCACTCACTTTATAATATTTTAATCTAAACCTTGTTTCTTAAATTTGTGTATGAAATTGTTGTGTGAATTGGTGTCAAAATTCTTGCCGAAATCAAAATATATGACAACTAGTTGTTTTTCGCTGTCGTGAATCCTTTCACCCTCCTTACAAGCAAAGTAGACTTACTTGTGATTTTTTTCTTGACAAATTCATGTTGACTATTACTCATCTACTTATATTTCAGTGTTTTTAAATTCTTTATTTGTTCCATTTATTCAGTGCACTGAATTTGAACTGACTGCTCTATAATAAGACATACATTTACTAGCTGTCTGCCATACCATCTTTGAGAAATTCTCAGTGACAATGAGTAATAGTTCTGAGGTCACTTCATTCCCTTCATGTCTGTCCTAGGGTGAAGTTCATAATACATGCCTGATTTGAAAACTTATAATTTATGGAAATGTTCTCTAGTTTGTTTCCCTATTTTAGGCTGAGATTTTACTTCTTTGCAACTGGATTAGCCACATGCTCTCAGATGACTCTTCTAATATGCGAAAATGTATTAAACACTTCATCTTTCCTAGTCTTTTGTAATAGAATCATAGGATCATTTAGGTTGGAAAAGACTGTTAAGATCATCGTGTCCAACCATAAACCTAACACTGCCAAGTCCACCGCTAAACCATGGCCCTAAGCGCCACGTCCGCATGTCTGTCAGTACCGTTACTTTTCTGCTAAGTTGTGGACTAGCTCTTTCCATAGCCGCGACAGAGCAGCCATACTGCAAACTCCCAGTACTGGAGAAATACATCGGGCTCTTTCAGCTGTGCTCTTTCCAGCAGCCTCCATCACCAACAGCATTGCAAACCTACTTCCCACTCCTCTGACAGGTTCCTTAAGTGGCCAGCTCGACCATCTTGTTTAGCATCCAGGACTGGACAGCAGAAGAGCAGACACATCGTGACCATTAAAAACTGGAAAATATTGTGGTCTGGCTGCCCCACAGAGAACGTGGTTCGTGAAGAGCAGTGATGGCCACAGCTCTGGCTACCTGCTGTGGTGCACTGGCCGCTAAGGGCTGAAAAGGGAAGGAGTATTTGGCTTAGTCGAGTTCTCGAGCTGCCCCAAATTTCAGCATTTACAGTCACAGTGGCAGTGCTGGTAATGTTGCCTCAGGTGACTGGGAAAAGAAGAGGGGAACGTGCAGTCATTCAAAGTAAACAGAGAAAGTTTTATTCTAAAGATGGGTGACTTGACTTGAGGTACAGAGAAACAAAGTAGGTTTTGTAATATGAAATACCATCCAGGAGTCCTGACTGAAGCGTGTTACTCTCACGCCAGAATCCACTCCTCAGCTATTAAATAAATCTCTTGGGGACGGGGGGTGAGAAGGGGATAAGATATATGGGAAAGGAAATGAGAATGTTATCTCCATTTTACTGTGTAATACTTATTTAAGAACGGCTAGAGTTTTCTGAATAAAGAATGTATCTCAGTATTCCACGTGAATGCAAAATGCTGTCTGAAGAACAGTTACTGTAAATGAGAACTGAGAAACTGCTATTGGAAAATTACTATAAACCTTTGGAAAGTGCTAATTTCAAAAACAAAACACGGATTTCATTTTGTAGTGTGACTTTCAATTAGGAAAAAAATATTTCATTTTAAAGTTCTCTTGAAAATGTTACTAGAATAACTCTGATATCTTTTTTTTTTTTTTTTTTTTTTTTAATCCTTTGCAGCTCCCGGACAGCTGTATAATGGATTACTATGAAAAATACAAGCACAGAATGAATGAGCTTGAAGCATTTAATATGGTAAAAGTTATAGGATTAATACTATTACCTTGTATATATGTGCTAGTCTAGAACAAAGCCCTGTTAAGTTTTATGTGGAGGTGGACTGTCTTACACTGTGGTATGCAATCTCAAAAACAAAGCAGCTCCCCCTTCCAAAGTTTGGAGCATATCCTATTCCAAAACTATATTAGGTGTCAGTAAAATAATAAAGCGAACACATGGAAGATTCTTTTTCAAGAGGGACTATTACCCTGGAAAATGAAATGTCAGTCTCCTTTTAAATCTAGACTGGTCTCCATGCAGTTATTTCATAAAAATTCTTTTTATTAAAATTCATTATTTCCCTCTTTAAAATTGTTCTGCTTCATATAATATAATTTTCTTGTTGGACAATGTCTCAAAACCAACTAAATAACAGTTTCCTGGCTTTATAGAATTCCATGTATTTTTGATCGTTAATATAATCTGTTTTGAAGATGTCCATCCCGCAGGGAAAATTGGCAAGGTGACATTTGTACAACAGACCCACTAGAAAATGATTGACCTTCCTGGAATTGTTCTGTGGAAGTGTAGCTATTTGGAAGTGTATTGTCTCCTTTTCCCAAAATCATTATAGTATGTAATCTTTCTTTCAGCTGAAGGTTGTTCTGGCTCCCTGCATAGAAGTTTTGATACTTCTGGATCGTCTTTGCTACCTCAAGGAGCAGGTATTTTTGCATTGTATTTTATGGTACCTAAAGGCTACATCAGTGAAATGAGACTATTTCAGCCAATTTATTACTGTGCAGACCAAAAAGTCTCTGTTTCAGAATTATTATTCTCATCATATTTGCGAAAGTATAAGTATTCATTCCATTTAGTATAAACATATGCCCAGCAGATGTTTTTATTTTCAGCAAAGCAGCAACAGTAAAGTTTATGTTCTTTTAATTGTATGGTAATTACTAGTCAATAGATAGTAAAAAATAAATTAATTAAATATGCAACAAATCTCATTTTATACAACATATTGAGTTATTTAATAATTAAAAAGAATATTGGAAATGCTAAACAAACATTGTGTTGTACATGCTAGAGCTTCCAATGACTATGTTTTAGAACATATAATTCAAGAAATTTTGAATAGGGTCCAAAATGTTTATGATTTCCTTTTATTGTTTCTTAATTAAGATCAATGATGAGAGAGGGTGCACTTTTTCCAACTGTATGGGTCAGCTGAGGTACATTTGACTACATTACAGCCTGGATATATTTTACAAGTGTAGACCTGGGATATAATAAGCAAATGCTACTGCATTTACTCCATAATGATTTATATTACACTGCTTCTTCTAACACTGATTTTGAGCTTGGCCTGATTAATTCAGAAACAGCAGTCATACTTTCTCTGCACCAGTAAACATTTTTCGGACAAATAATAATTTGCTAGGAGGAAATGGTAGCGTCTTCCAGCTTCTGCTCTGGGCCATGGTCAAAATAAAATTTTAAAATAAAGTTTAAACCCATTCATGTGAATAGGTCTGTTTTTCCACCATCAACCTTTCATTTTAACAGCTGCATTTTATCATAAGTAAAAATTCACTTTTTATTCTCTGCCACAGTGCACTTGGAACAACTGAGTTGTAGTAAATGTATGCTTTTGTTCTAACTGGTATTTTTACAGAGAGGCAATTTGAAATATTTAAATAATGATGTATTTTCCCAAATGCCAACCAGTTATAAATCACATAGAGATCTGTATGATTTCCAAGACGGGAGATCAGACTTGCTGCAGTTAGCACTAATTTACCTTTTCTAAATGTAATATACGCATTGATTTAATCTTGTACTGGTTGATTCACAAAATGTGTTTAGGAAGAAAAAATAGAAATGATAAAAGCCATATGCAACATGAACACCAGATCCAGCTGGCCTGATTCATTTGAAGTCAGTTAATTAGCTTCAGTAGTAGAATGTGCTGCATAAAATGAGCAGGACTTGATCCTTAATTTCTTTGCTCTAGTTCAACTGAAAAAAAAGCTTTATTGATGAAGGGGGTGGTAAGCTATCATTTGATAGTGCCAGAAATAATTTAATGACTTTAAAATACATCCTGTTTTGGGTGTCCTTTTTTTCACAATAAACTTTCTGTGATTTTCTTGTTAGATAAGTGTTTTTCCTGCTTTGCATTAAGGATAATTTTTTTTTTTTTTCAATTTTGTATTTCAAAATGTGGACCTATTACAATATCTTTGCTTTTAAGTCAAACACATTTTTATGTACTTCAATCATATATCATTTTACAGGACAACATTGCCTGGTCTGGACTTGTGAAGTTATTTGATCCCGTGAAATCCCCCAGATGCTATGCAGTTATTGCTCTGAAGAAACAGTGATGTTTTTAAGTGGAAGCAAATTGCAGATAGGTTGAAAACTCTGAACTGATACTGCTATTTCCTCACTTTTATTCTGATATTTTTACTTGATTACTCAAGTACACTGCTTGCTTTTCTGCTGCAAAAGTAAAAAGTGCAATGCCTCTATGAATCATGAGAAATAAATATCTCCTTTATAAATACCATTTCTTCCTTATGTCAGTTATTAAACAATGTTGAACATCTGGCTTTATTATAAAAGTTATGAGCCATATTATGTGATTATTATTTTAAAATATTTTTTGTTTCTTCTTTTTAAGGCGTTATACCGTGTATCAATACCCCTTCTCCTGATATATCTAATCACAAGAACATACCTTCTCAGTTTTTACCCGTGGCTGGCATCAGCAGTCTCAGACTAGCCTTGCCTTTTTCTTTTTTGGATTCAGGTGGTGCAGAGAATAAACAGAAAAATAACCTGCACTGTAAACAAGAGGTTCGTAGACTAAATAAGATCTTTGTACTTCCCTGGTCTCCAGGTCATCAGGACCAGCTGATTTATAGAGCAACCTAGAAGAGCCTAGATATAACTACCTGCAGTGTTGTATTAACCCCTTCTGCCTTCAGGCATGTTCCTGGCATGCACTTGTTCGCCTTTCACTCTGAAAGAAAAAAATGCCTGTGCTGTAATCCAATGGGAGATTTCCCAGTGCTTAAGAATCAGCTGCCCCGCAGGGGTGCGCTCTGTAATCCTTGGGTTGTATCAGAAAGCTATTATCTGGCCCAAATGTGTTGGGTATAAATACTTTGGTACCCAAGTGAATTGAAACTTGTAGGCAGTTTCTTGTGGGCATTGATGAGTGGGAAATTTATTTGTTGATGCACTTATCTCAATGGGTTGCCTCATTAAACTTGCAGATTTTCCATCAATTAAAAAAGAGAAAAGTTTCTATTCTAAGTCCTAGTGCTTTTATTAGAATTTTCCAGCATATATAAAACATAATTAACTACCAGTGCACAGAAGGAAGGACAAAAAATAAAGAATAAAATACAGCATTAAAGAAGAAAATGGAAGAATGCAACTTTGGTGGGCAGAAGATGAGAATAACAAAAAATATTTTTATATTAATTGTATAATGACAGTAATAGTCATGGGAATCAGACTGAGATTCAGACGTGAGTAGGAACAAAAATCTTGTTCTGTTTCAGTCTGCAAAATATAATGAGAGCTTGTGAACAATGGCCATTCAAGAAAAGACAATTAAGGTGTTTTTTCTAGCAAGTCACATCTTTCTTGATGTGTTCACTTGGAAGAAATATTTTGGTGGTGTAAGTTCAGTGCTATTTTAGGACTCACAGTCCTTATTAGCTCCATGGATCCAGTATGAGCTTCTCACATGTGTTTGGTCCCAGTACGTTCAACCCTTAGACCTGCAACAATACCCAAGGAAATTAACAGAAGTTGCAGGTGCTCAGAGCATCTTTGGAGTAGAGCTAAGAAAAGAAAATCAGGCCTTCCATATATGCCACGTTTTGTTATATAGGGAGTACTGAGGCAACTAACAAGCTGGTAGATTCTTTTCCCAGGCGAGGAATCAAAAGAAATAAAATTCTTTCCTAACCTCTAAACATCTGGAAGGAAAAAAAAAAAACAACCAGAAATATCTGATCTAAAGAGGCAATTTAAAGTACATGATGTTAAAAAGAAAAAAAGATGAACAAAAATCTTAGAAAAATAGGTTTTATTTTATTATGTTCTAAGACAGGATGAATAATTACAACTGAAGTGTTAGAATATTATCATCCCAATCTTATGTGCTGTTGGAAAAGTTTGCTTGGGGATGAAATTGCCTTTTTTTGTGTTATGAATTGATTCTCCTGCTTTTTAAACCCAAATACTGAAAATCGAGCATAGATGATGTCCAAACAAAGAAAGCACTGTTTCTCACTGAAAGCAAGTGCTTAAAAGTACCCTGTTATGGCCAAAAAAATATTCATTTCAGCAAGCCCCACCTGGTTTAATTGGAACACAGTCAAAATTGCATAGACTATTGCTAATTGTGTGTGTGATATTTTAATGTGTGTGATGCTATCTGAATTCAGAGTTAAATTCTAATTTCTATCTTAAGAGGACATTTGCAACAGTTTGGAATAACAAGCACATCTCTAGGATTAGCCCAAGTGCTTTTCCGCTGATTCAAAGAGGTCTGAATAAATTTGCATGCCCCCCCAGCAACTTCTCAGGCCCTTTCAGTACTTTTCATGCACTTTGTAGTCTCTGCAGGCGAAGACAGAGGTGATGTGCTTCTTAGAATAATAACTATCGAGAGGTTTATATGATGAGTTTGCATTCAGTAACGTCAGTTGCCGTCTGCTCTCAAAGCTGTTTCGAAGCTTTGGATGCCTGAATACCTATGAGCTATTGTTTACATAATGGAAAAATCCCTGACAGTAATCAAGATGAATAAAATGATATTTCTTCATGATTATTGCCAGAAGTTCTTCCATAATGTAAACCATATCCTAAATACGATGAAGTCTTTCGATAGAAAAGAATCTCCATTTTCTTTCAGTGTGACAGAGAGCTATCTATCTTGATATGCTCCCTAAGGAATAGCGGATATACCTGCTTTCCCTCAGGTCTTTGCCTGATTCTGTTTGTGGCACACTTATGCATTCTGTAGCAGATTTGGAGCGTTTTATCGATTTTTCTTAGGGATGAAACCTGTTCTTGGTTTATTATTTGGTATGTGTGCAACCTTAATATCCAAGAGTACGTTGTAGCCCTAAGATCTCCACGCCTGCTTTTGTGACAATAAACTTTAATTCTGCAGTTCTGATTCATGCCTTAAAACATCACACCACAAAAAAATTTTGCACTGTTTTAGTTTCTGGGATTTTAGTTTCACGTTTTTTTCTGATTAAATATTAAATATTGTTTATAACAAATTATCTTCTTCATGGATATTATTCATTAATTTACTCTTAAAATAACAACTATCTGCTTAGAATTAAAATGCTTTTGCTACATCATGATGGAGTTAAAATCTTGAGACTCAAAATCTGTATCTCCTATGATGGCATAAAATCTGCAGAGGGGAAGCATGCTAAATGTATTTGGCCTGGTGGCAGCTATATGTCTTTTTCTTATGACTGGAGTATTCTTTCCTATCAGTACTTAGTGTTTTAGATTTACTTTTTTCCCCGAACACCATCCTAAGTGTGTCATTATATTGCCAGAGATGAGTGATACTAAGAGCAAGTGTTAAAACAGGACCAGCACCAAGAAAGTCTTCCCTGCTTATGTGTGAAATAGCCAGCTGAGTATGGTGCTTCAGACTTCCTTTTCTCTGGGAAGTAGCTGAATATCAAGTCTTTGTTAACATCTTTAAATCTCTTTACCCCACGCGTCGTACCATTCTTGCTGATGCATGTCCTCCTCCTCACTGATACCTATCCTAGTGCTCTGAAAGGAGATGAATCCATGCTAGGCTGTGAGCCATGAAGAATTTTCAGTGTCTGTGATCAAATTAGAACTGAAGTATAGTTGCTGAGACACTTAAATTGGCCACCTAACCCTTAGAACTGTAACTTTAGCTTCCTTGGTTTCTGAGATCCATTCAAATTTTGCAGTTTCCAAAATTCACATACTTCCTGCCAGATGGGAACATGGCCTAATTCTCTGAGATCCAGCTGCAGTTCCCTCACCATCTGAAATAACCATCTCAGTTTGGTGCCTCTATATTCTGTATCTCCAGGCAACTGCTGAATAAGTTCGTTTCTTTGAATTTCCTTATCCCTGGTCGTTATCTTTGTCAATGTTGTATTTCAGTGTACTCTAAGAAAAGGAATAAAATCCTTCTGAGATTTAGGATGTGTCAGAGAAGTTGCACCGCAGTTATGCTTCTTGTTGCTTTCTCCCTTAAAGCCTTGAAATTAATTCTGATCAGACAGATTAATAAGCACCAGACAGCCTGAGAGGCATAGATTATTAAAAAATGCTATGCACAATAGTGCATAGACTCTTCAGGAGTATTTTTCGTTTCAAGAGCTCTGAGGTATTTTCTTCACAAAAATTCCAGTGCACTTTATCATTAAACTTAAATGTCCAAGGAAACCCGCCAACATAATGAAGATTTGCCTCAAACTGTTAGAACATGCTGTTGTACACCAATCTTCCCAGTATATGCCTGCATCCTCCTCAAGGCTGTCTGCAGTGTCTGCATCAAACTGGGGGGGGAATAGGCACTTGTGTCACCATCCCAGTGATGATGTTCATGAAATCCAGAGGAGAATGACACTCTCCTCTCTGCTTTATGTTAAAAGGCAACAGAACTCTCAGAATGGGTATGTCCAGCATTCAAAGATTTCTCCAGATACCGTTATTGAAATCCACTTAACAGATTTCTTCAGTCAGTTCAGTGTGTTACTTCAGCCCATACTGACTATCATTAATAGGTCTACAAATTTTTGTCCTGTGGTTTATGTTCCACAGGTGGACCCTTCTCAAAATACAGGTTTTTTTACTCATCAAAACAGTAAATTACTTCAACTAATTGCTATGAGTGAGAGCTACCTCTAGATTTATTTATTTTTTTTATTTTATAGTAATTTTAAGTTGTTTTAGCCAAGTAGAATCCTACTATAAACCATCATTTCCTCAGAACTGTGGATTCGAAAGAAATCTGAAAATGGTTTCTAGATTACTGATGAAATTTAGAAGAAATTGAAATTGTACTGCATAAGTGTGTTCTTGGGTAGGAAAGCACAGTGTATGTACAGGTTACATCATGAGGCACACTGTTGACCAGAATTTGTTAAACTCATAAATACAAAACACATAGGCAAGATTATATGGACAAAATATCTCAAAGATTTACAGTTATGATAAAGTTTATTACTATTCTTTATAAACTGTCGGAAGAAATGTAATTATCTTCTTCAATGGAAATACAGAAAAACATGAACTTTCAGCAAGTAAATGAGATTTAGATTTTTAAACTTGTCTAACAATCTAGGAACTAGTGGCAAAAGTGAAAAAAAAATTTAGGGCAACAATCTGATACACTGTTCACCCAAGGAAATCAAACTTTTTTCTACACTTTTATTTTGTATCTGTTGTATAATCTGTATTTTTTGTCTATGCTTTTTTTTTAATAGTTTATGATTAAATTATCTCTTTCCAGTCTTTTGCAATTACAGCTGCAGTGGCTATGTATAGTAAGCAAGGACTTTCCATTTCCTCTTGTATGTAACACATGCTAACAAGATACAATTATTTAATATCTTTGTTTAAAATTAACAAAGACTGTCTGAAAGCAAATTATTACTTCTGAACTTAACTATACTATATAGTCTGTGGATTAAAAAATTCTGCATGTGAAACCTGTGCAAACTTTTACCTTTTCATTACAAAATTCTCAGTTTTATGTAAGTCTCTTTCTCTTTGCATCTGGACCAATATGAACTTACTCCTGTAGATAAAGATGTTGTC